GCGGGCCCAGGCCCGGGCCCGGTTCGCGTTGCGTGTCTCAGTCGCGCGTGGTCTCTGCAGCTCTGCCACGACCGCGGCTACCTGGTGACGCAGGACGAGCTGGACCAGACGCTGGACGAGTTCAAGGCGCAGTTCGGGGACAAGCCGAGCGAGGGCCGCCCGCGGCGCACGGACCTCACGGTGCTCGTGGCTCACAACGACGACCCCACCGACCAGATGTTCGTGTTCTTCCCCGGTGAGCGCGGCCGCCCCGCGCGGTGCCTTTGCCCTCTGAACGTGACCGTGCCCCTCTGCTGCTCGGGAACCCTCCTGCTGGATGTGTTTCGAATCGCTGTGCTGGCAGGGAGCCTTTTCCCACCCTGCAACATGGAAGCCCGGGTGGGGTGAACGCCCCAGGAGGTTTTGTTGGTTTGTGCATGTGTTATCCCCTTGGATTTTGTGGGGTTAAGCCGTCTATAAGCTTTGCCCTGCCTAACCCTGGGGTGACTTCTGCACCTGCTGGGCTGGATGCAGAACACTATATAGGGGGGAAACGCATCACAAAGCAGAACGAACAAATATTTGTGCATAAACCAGGTGCAAAACAGCAGCTCCTAGAACGTAGCTATTACAGACCCGCATTGTAATCCAGGGACCCACTTGTTTCCTAGAGGAGCCCAAGGTTGGAATAAAGACAATCAAGATGTACTGCCAGAGGATGCAGGAGGAGAACATCACGAGGGCGCTCATTGTGGTGCAGCAAGGCATGACTCCTTCGGCAAAGCAGGTACTTTGTCTTTCACTGCTGCACAGGCAGGGCTGCCCTAGCGCAGTGCCCGTGCTGCAGTCCGAGGTGCTTTTCCTTTGCAGTCCCTGGTAGACATGGCTCCCAAGTACATCCTGGAGCAGTTCCTCCAGCAAGAGCTCTTGATCAACATCACGGAGCACGAGGTGAGCGGCGGGGGCAGCGGGGCAAGGGCAGGACTGTCAGCTTCGTGCTGAGCTGCAGGCACAGCCAGCACCCAGGGACCTCGAGGCCGAGCGACGCAGCAGCGGTTCCCCTTTCCCTTGCCCATGTGTTCCTCCTCCTGCTGCCGTGAGGACACTCTTGGTTTCCTTGGTTTTATAATCTTGGAATCTCTGCTTTGTGTTTACAGCTGGTTCCAGAGCATGTGGTCATGACCAAGGAAGAAGTGACTGAGTTGCTAGCCCGATAGTATCCTTGGCTCCTTCCCCTCTTCCTGGGTGTGATTCATGCCTACTTGGGCCAGAAAATGAAGCCGCTGCCGCATGGGACAGCGTGGTGCTTTGTTCTGATAACGTGCCCTTTCCCAGAACAAAGGGGCCCTGGCCGGTTGCTTGCTCTGCTGGTAGAGCCTTTCCTTGACTGCCCCGTGCAGCAAACTGAGAGAGAACCAGCTGCCCAGGATACAGGCTGGGGATCCTGTGGCCAGGTACTTCGGGATAAAGCGAGGGCAGGTAAGAGCGGCACAGCTGGTGACGGGCAGCTGCTCCCTGTGGGTTTTGCTAGGAGCTAATAAGGGATTTTGATGGTATTTAGAACCCCTGGAGAAGGGAAGGGCATCTCCTTCACATAGGAAAGCTGTTACAGTGCAGAGACTTGTGCAAGCTGGGCAGGCTTCCAGCAAGGGACAGTGATGCTGGCTGTTAGATCAGCTGATGGGGATCAGCAGATGTGAGACCAGCCCCAGGCTTTCGCTCTTGCCCATGAATGTGGCATTTCTGGGCTACACCCAGCAGCAGACGTGCAGCTTAGGGACAAAAGTCTCCATGGCTGCGGAGGGTTGCAGCGCTGCCACTGCTCTGTCTGGGCTTGTGTGTGTCTCCTGGGGAAGCCCTGCTGGGGACACTTGCCACCAGCTTCTCTCGCTCATGGGTTGCTTCTCTCGGGCTCCTAGGTAGTGAAGATCATAAGGCCTAGTGAGACCGCGGGCCGCTACATCACCTACAGACTGGTGCAGTAACGCGGAGCGCCCAGGTGAGGAGAGCGCCCGGGCTGCGCGGGCCTGCCCGGCTGAGGGCCCTTCCATGGGCTTTCCATAGGTGCTGTGGCTCTCCGGGGTCGCCTTGGAGCGGCTGCCTGCAAGAGCAGGGCTGTAAATGCCTTGTGCAAAGAGCTGTGGATCAGTCGGACAGGAGAGCAGGGCCCCGAGGGTCCCGTCCCTCGGCCGTGTCCCGCTGACAGGAGCTCCGTGCTCCATGCCCTGCACTGGGGAGCTGCGTGGGGCACCCGGGTGCCTGGTGGAGCTTGGCTGCCAGCCCAGCCCAGGGAGGCATCAGGCGGTTCACATCCCAAGCTCTCTCTCTTCCAGATGTGGAGGATTCTGTTGTCTCCTGATCTTCCCACCAATCTACAGGCCCTCTGGGATGTCTGCTGTTTTCTAAAAATGACTGAAAAGATGCTGCGTTGCCTCGCTACATCCGTGTTCTATGGCCTGCAACTCCTCATTTTCCAGTATAGATTTTGCTGCAAGTCTGCTATGAGGACTAATGCCATGAAGCTAATGTTAAGAAACTGCAGCGTGCAGGGAGGAAGTGAGAGGAAAGAAGGCCTTTGCTTTCCTGTTTTAAAAGACTTTATTTTTAATAAAGGTTTGTATTGTTGCTGTTCCTCACTGCTGTATTTCTCAGCCTTTCTGTGCACCAAAGTCTTCTGAAGTCTGTGGGTTCCCCTTTATTCTTCTGTTTTGAGTATCTTGCTGCACAAAGCCCTGGACTGAGCCCCAGATCTCATCTGTTTAACCCTGATCCAATTTCTTGTGCAGTTAAGACTTGTTGCCTTGATCTGTTCTAACCTCATTGACCCTTGTTTTGATACCTTGAGGTTCAGACAGCAGGGAGGAAAGTTGTTTATCCTCTTCCATACATCACGAGCAGTTTCACTTCCCTCGAGTTTGTAAACTTCAGAGCTTCAGTAGCAAGCAGACCAAGTGCTTACTTCCCTATAGTGCTTGGCCTCCTGCCACCGTGGGTTTGAGTATGGAAAATCCTGGTCTGCAGCACAGACGTGGTGTTGAACACACTGATTTTATTCTTGTAAGCATGCAAATCTGAACAGAACATGAAGCAGAGCTTCGTACAGCAGTACAAATACGTCCCAGCGAACACGGCTCGTGCCACCGTGCTGTGTCTATGTACAAATAGGAGGGTGCCTGTTACCGGGTGAAACTCGAGCGCAGCTATTGCAATGCACCGACTTGAAGGGCGTTTCCCTTCCCTCCCTCATTCACCATCATCCATCCTTGCACACACACGCGGTACCGCCCGTGGTGGTGGCTGTGCAGCAGGAGAGGGGAGTTCCTCCTGCTGCCAGTGAAATGGCCTGCTGGAAGATCCAACCCTCCCGTTGAGGAGCTGGGTCTTCAACAACGTCTCACGAGACTTTCTAGCTCTTCTTTGGCTCAGTTACAAGCTACTTAGCTCTATAGTCACCTTCTGTTTCGTGTACCTTTAACTATTGCATTGGGATGCACTTAAAATTAATCCTGAGAGCTCCGGCAGCGGTAAAGCCCAGGCTGGCACTGCTGTGGTGAAGATCTGATGCTCTTCAGCGCTGACTCCAGCATCTGCTCAATGACTCGAGTCCACAGTGATGAGGTGCGTACACCCCCCGTGCCACCCGCCGTACTGGGCTGAAACGTCGCTCCAGCCCCTCGTTTGTCTTTCCAGAGCAGCTGGAGTTTTTGTCTCTGCCCTTTTCCCTCCCTGGCCCCTGTTTCTGAAAGCTTTTAGGCTTGTGATGATCAGGCCTGCTGTGGGTGGAGGCAGGAAGAGGTGACTTGGTGTCCAGCCTCGTGCTAAGGGAGGGCCTGGCTAACTCATTAGCAAACAGCTTTGGTTCTGCAGTGCTGCAGGAGCTCTGCTGTGGGCTACGAGGCACGTGTGTGTGCTAGCCCTTGGGCATCAGATTCGGGCTCTCCTGGGTTTTATTCCTGTCTGCCCTGCTGAGTTGAGCCTAGAACTGCTCAACACTGGCTATAGGAACAAAGTCTAAAGCTGGCCACAAGCAGGGTAGAAAGAGGAAACAGTTTTGGCTCTTTTGAGCTTGGTAGCTATTTTTCTTTATGCTTCAGTGCAGTCATAGCTTTGAAAAAATCCTTTGGCTGGTCACGTTTAACCCTTTAGCTCCCTTTGCCAGCAGAGGTGTTGAAGGGTCAACTCTTGAACAAACTAAACCCAAACTGCAAAACAAAACAGAAAACAAAAATCCCGCCCTCCGCCCGCCCCAGCCCCTTGGGCTGCTCCTTGGTTCAAAGGGTGACCATCCCGGGGGAAAGCGACTTCCCTGGCCCCGGGCACAGGGGGGTTCCCTGCCGGGCAGGGGTAGTTCTGCCTCTGTGACTCCTGACTGTGGTTGCACTTGGGGGCAAAATGCCTCTTTGGGATAAAAAGTACTCCCTGAGAGGTCATGTCGTGCTCAGGACTCTGCAGCCAGTAAAAGCTGCCCCTTGAGCTGGTTTACGGCCTGTGCCTTGCTCTTTGCATGGTCCTGCCAAGCAGAAAAGAATGCCCATAAATACAAGCAGCAATGCAAGCCTGTCAGCGGCGCCAGGAGAGGCAGGCGCCCGTCCCGCCGTGCTTGGACGTGCCGAGGTTCTTGCAGGAAATTCAGCGCTGGGCTTTGGCTGCTGGGTGCAGTCAGTTCCAAGTGACCCGAGTACCTTGCGGGGCGCGGAGCAGCCCGGCCCGGCGCAGCCCGTCCTGTCGGCACCGCGAGGCTCTCGGGGGGCTACTCCAGAGCGCGGGCTCCCCCGGCGCAGTCCGTGTGCGCGGCGCGGCGGCCGCTGTCGGGACCCTCCTCGGGGTCGCTCTGCTCCTCCCCGACAGGGCTGCGGGCGCGGGGAGCTGTGCGCTCCGTGTCCCACTGGCCCGTGCTGCTCGTCCGGCTGCGCTGGCCCTCGCTCCCCTCGTCGCAGAACGGAGTGTCCTCGGTGCTGGTTTCGCTGCCCTGCTTTCGGAGCGGGCTCCGCTCCGCGGCCGCCGGCAGCTCCGCGCTCTCCTCCAGCTCGGAGTCGGAGTCACCGGAGCGGTCGCCGGGCTCTGCGGGGCGCACGGAGCCCTGCGTTACCCCCGACCCTGCACAGAGGCTTTGGCAAAAGCTGCATTCGGGAAACTCTTGGCACCCTGGCCAGGGGATGGGCCCTGGGCTACTGCCAGGGATGGCACCACAGGCTCTGTCCTGGTTTGGGGTAGATTGGGCAATTCTTTTTGTTTTCCAGGTGCACCTCTGTAGATGAAACTGCCCCTGCATAAACCCCTCGCCCTCGGCTGCATTCACCAAAGGAAGCACAGGAACTAATGCAGTGGCAGCCAGTGACCACCTGGAACTAAGCGGAGTTCCTCTGGCAGCAGTTTGGGCCGTGTCCTGCTCCCGGGAAGCCTCTTTGTGGTGCTCGGAGCGGAGCGGCCGGGAGCCCCTCACTCACCTCCATACGAGTCGGCGCCGTAATCCAGGGCCCCCTTCTCGGCGGCTGCTTCCAGGTAGGCGGCGCTGCCGTGGGGGGCTGCGTCATCCTGGGGGAGACAGGGGGGCAAGGTGAGGGCTGCTGTTTTGCCCCAATTGCTGTCTATAGGGACAGGGTGCTGTCAGTGACGCAGGTGAATGAAAAGCACGGGAGCTATTTTGAAATGCAAAGTCACGGGCTCCGAAATGGAGCAACGCAAACCCTGCCACACGCCTCTGCCGAGGGCTGTTACGCAAGCGTTTGCATCTGCCTTCTTAGGCAAGACGTCCCCCAAAAGCCCGTGACCTGCCCAAGGCTTCAAGCCCCAAGCGCCCCGGCCTCGCTCCTCCCCAGGGCTCTCCTACCGCGGCGGAGCCGCCGGCCGCCGCCTCGGCGCCGCGTTTGCCGGGATCGAGCAGCAGCGCCGGGTCCCTGCTCTCGAAGATGGTTGCGTAGAAGATGATGAGCGCCTCGACGATGCGGGCTTGGTGGGGATAGTCCACCAGTGAGGACAAGGAAATCGTGGCGTCTGTGGGTCTGGGGCGCATGAGGGTGGGTCCAAAGACAATGCCCAGGTTGCTCGAGGTCATCTTGTTGTCCTGCTCCACTTCCACGATCCTGGAGGGAAGGCAGAGCAGCCTGTGAGGGCGAGTGGGCTGGGGGAGCCGCGGAGAGGAGGGATGGGGAGTGCGAGAGCTCATCCCTATGGAAGTGCTGGAGGGCTGCACAGAAACGCGCTTCTCTGGCGCAGGTAATGCAGGTAACGCGCTTCCTTGGTGCAGATAATGCACTTCCCTGGCGCAGACAGTGCACATTGCTGGTGCAGATGTTGCACTTTCCCAAGGAGCAAAGCAGAAGCTCTCTGCTTCTGGGAGGGCCGAGCTGTGCCACGGCAGCACGGCTTGTGCTTGCCCCCTTCCTCCACTTCAGGGGAGGAGGGCAAGGGGCTGCAGCCCCGCCGCTGGCCGGGGGCTGCCTGTTCTCACCTTCTCAGGTGCTGCAGCAGGTACTGCAGCGTGGCCATGTTCTCCCAGGGAAGCTCCTTCAGCAGCTCCTTCAGCTTCAGCACCAGCGTCACAACCACCGTGTCGGTGTCGGGGCCCCGGTCGGCGAGCTCGGGGCCCCCCTTGCCGCCCCTGCCCTTGGCCTCGCCGCCCGCCAGGCTCTCCTTGGCCAGGCCCACCAGCTCGTTGTACATGCGGAAGGGCATGAGGGGCTCGGGCAGCTGCGGGAGGGAAGACGGGAGAGGGGGTGAGTGCGGAGCCTCCCGCCCCACCGGAGCTGCTGCTTGTTTGTCCTCTGGAAGCGACTGCACCCTCGCTCCTCACAGCCAGTAATACCTGGGAGCTCGAGCGAAAAGGAGCAGCCCATCGAGACCTTGGGGTTCTCGCTGGATACCAGTCCCCAGGGTGAATATCAATATCAAGGGATTCTTTTCCCCTTTATAAAAGACCTGGCCTGGGGCGGACACAGCAGCAGTTTTCCATAGATAAGAGCTTGTTAGAAAAAAAGAGTTAATTGTTTTGTGGGAGCAGAGGGTGAGATTAGATCAGCCTAGCTTGTGGCAGAGGTGCCTGAGGTTAGATGGGAAAATCTGGCTTGGAGGTTGCATAGAGCACCTGGAGCAGCATTAACCCACGGGTGGGTTTGCATCTCTACGTGCTCTTTGCTCTGAATGCTCTGAAATGGCAGATGCTCCTCGGGGTAGGTTGTCCCTCGTGTCAGAGCAGTGGATCCTCCCTCTTACAGAGTGACTTTGAATTGGTTTATCAGAGTTTCTGGTTAGACATTGGATGCTGGTTCAGGACCAGCTCTCTCCATTTCCGCTCTGCTTTCCTTGTCCGGAGAAACCACAGGGATATCTCAGAATACGGACTGCCCTCTCTGTGCTGGGAACCTCTGGAAAATCCTCTGTGCTTGAGCGGGGAGCCTGAGGCAGATTCCCAAGCTAAGGCAGCAGGAAGCCTCCATGGATCCACAGCAATTCTGCCAGGCCTCGAGAAACACGGTGTTAAAGGGTTAAGCGGCAGGAGCACAAAAGAGAAGTTCCTCCCTCCCCTTCTGCCTTGTGGTGGCTTCTTTGAGGATGTGGCTCTCAGTTTACATCACAGCTTTCACATTCAGGAGCCATTACTGAATAAAGAGGCGTTTTGGTATTGAACTGCCTGGAGCAGCAAGATAATGATGGACTGGACCGGCACATCGTGCGGAGAAGCGAATTCAGCCCCTTGCTCTGCCCTGTGGCGTGGTGTTTCTCACTTCGCTTCCCTCTTGCAGGCCTGGTGCTGCAGTGGCACGAGGGAGGACGCGGGTGCATCAGTGTTTGTGCGTCTGCGGCGGGAGGAACCGCGCCAAGCGCCGGGCGGGGGATCTGCGCACAGGCTCGGCGCTGCGCTGCGCACCGGAAAGCAGCGAGTCCCTCCGAGGAGAGGCGGTTTCCGCCCCGTGTTTGTGTTCGTGATTCTGCCTCTGCAGGATCCTCCACCAAGGGCCAGTCTAGGCAGCAGGCTGAGCCAGCCCAGCCCGCAGCAGGAGGGTTTCTACCAGGGCGGCCCAGCAAAGGCACGTTTGCTTTGGAACCAGCTCTCCTCTGCCTGCCCCGCGCCAAAGGTTCCTCCAGCACCTTACCTGCCGCAGGTAGAGCTTCAGGACATTGCTAATGTCGTGAGGGGAGGCCTGCGATAGCTCCACCAGCTCCTTCCCGTTCTCAAATGCCTGGCAAAGCTTTTCCACACGAGTCTTTACACCGTTAACTCGGTAGATGCCCTGTGAAAGAGAGGGATGGAGCTGAAATGCAGGCAGATGAATGTCTCCAGGTCTGCCCAGGACAGGAGCTGCTGATTCCCGTCTTCCCATTCTGGAATGGGCGATCCCTCTCAGAAGCAATGCTCAGATGTTACCATCATTGCTGTTTTGCAGGCAGGAAGGAGAGGCAGATAAGACAAGGGAGTTGCCAAGGTCAGGCTTGGTTAGTATCAGGCTTCCTGACTCCCTACGTCCCGGCAATCTCAGAGGAGAGTGTGTTTTATTGCAGGACAGAGAAGCAGCGGAGCCGGGTGGAAGCGGAGGGAAGGCCGAGTGCTTCACCTTGGTTTTCAGTGCCCGCTTCTCGATCTCAGAAATGCACTTCTTGATGATAAAGGGGATTCCGTCCGAGCTGCTCTGCGAAGACTTTGTGAAGTCCTGCCCAAAAAGCTGCAGCTTCCCTTGGAGTTTCTTGTGCCCACACTGGATGGCCAAAGTTTCCAGACACTTCTTGTGACAGGCGAGGTAGCACTGGGAGGAGAAAAACAAACAAAAAAAACCCCAGAAATATGGTTGAAGGCAACCAGAATGTGGGTAAGGGGCTGCATGAGTATTGAGTGGGCCAGAGACTGAAGAAATCAGTGCATCGTGGGGCTTGTACAGATCATGGGACACATCCGCACTCGCTCCACTGACTCTCTTTACCTCCTCACACTCTGCTCCCTGGAAGTAAACGTAGCTGTTGCACTCCCGACACTTGGAAGGGGTGCGGAGCTTCCTGAGCCGGTGAGTCTGGGCAGCCTTGGATAAGCCAACGTTTCGGAAAGGTCCTGTGGGAGCAGCCATTTCTGGGGTGATGCCGTTGATGCCTGCAGCAGAACAAGGAGGGATGCGTTCCCCGTCTGGAGCAAGGGTGCACGGCGGCGCTCCCGCCCGCTCCCCTGCGCACTCTGCTCGAAGGAGGCGGCGTTCTCCTCCTTCTCCTGCAGCTCCTCGCTGGAGGACATGGTGCCGTTGGAGGACAATCGCTGCAGCTTGTGGCTGAATTCACCTGACAAGACAGAAGCAGCAAGCACGGGACATCACTGGCCAAGCTCTTTTCCTTCTGAGTGGTCCTCATGTTTGTCTGAATCCCACATCAAAGTGGGATGTGCCCGGCTTTGCTGGGATCGCTATTCCTGATGAAGAGAGAGGTTTTCTCTGGGCTAGCAGGGGCTGTACGTCCCCCTGCGCTGCCTTGCACTGGGGCAGGTTGCTGTTACTGCAGCTGCGACGGTTCAGAGCTCCCACACCCAACCTGTGGGGTCAGGACTCACACCACATTTAAGGCAGGTAGAAAAGCAGCAGCCCCCCCTCACCTGCGTTGGAATCCAGGCTGCCGTCCCCCTCGGTGATGGTGGTCGGCCAAGACTTATGGACCTGATGCCCCCTCCCACCTGCAGGAGGAAACACAGGCTCCATTCAGCGTTTCCCGGGTGCAGGACAGAGACACTTAAGCACAGGGCTGCTGGTTGAAGGAGCTCATGTGGTCGTGGTGTTTCAGCAGTGCGTCCAGCAAGGGGAAGAAGAGATGGGAAGATGGAGGATGAGCTGCTAAGTAACAGCAGACAGCAAAAAAAGGGCTCTCTAAGCCTGTGTCCTGAGGAAATGCAGTTTAGTTTGCAAGGCTTCCTCTTCCAGCCCGTGCTAGCGCTCCAAGGAGCAGCAGTGTCCCTGGTTTCCCTCCCAAGGGAGGGAGCTCTCCCTGCTTCCAGCGAGGGAGGAAGGGACCAGCCCCGGAGCCAGTGGGTTGGGAAGGCAACATCCTGGCTTCTCCCTGTCCACGCTCACCTCTCCTGTCAGCTCCGCTCTGCTGCTCCTTGCCTCCAGCCCCTGCATCGGACACGTTCCCATCTTTGGGCAGCCCAGCTCCATCAGAACTGGCATTTGTAGCAAAGTCACTGGCATTGAAGCTGCCTTTCCGAGTGCGAACAAAGGGAGACCTGGCAGGCAGAAAGGTGAAGAGGGAATGTCAAAGAGGATGGAAATCAGAGACACTGGTCATCTTATTCACGGCTGCTGTCTCCCCGCCTGGGGATTTACAGCCCTCCGTGTTAAACACGGGGCAGGCTGCCCGCACCAGCTCCCTCGGCGTGCGCGGCTCTGCAGTGAGGAGCTGGTCCTGCAGCGGGGGATGCTCCCGGCTTCGCTGCCAAGTGCAGGAGCCCCGGCTTGCCAGCAGGATTCCCAGCAGCTCCAGGCCCAGCTTCCTCACTGGATCCCAGGGGAGCGCAGCGGCAGCCCGGGGCAAGGCCAGCAGCAAGAGAGACCCCAAACCAGTGCCTTCTGCGGCATCCCGCCCTCCCTCCTTTCCTACCAGGCATTGTGGGACACGTAGGGCTCGAAGTCGTACTGGATGTCGGGCTCGTCGCCCCGCTGCAGCTGCCGCACGTGCGACGCGTACTGCTGCCCCGGGTCGTAGAGCTTGCTGCTTTCACACAGTGTCTGGAAGTAGACGGGCAGCGGGGCGGTCTGCATGTGCATGATCTGGTAGAAGGAGATAGTGGCCTGAAAGGAACGGAAGGAATTGGGCGTGAGCCGTGTGAGGCCACATACGAGAAGCCCAAAGCGGCACTTGGAGCGCAGCTTCAGGCTCGGCTTTCCAGAGCCCAAGCCAAGTGAGCAGCCCAGGAGGCCACACGGACCCCACAGATGCAGGAGGTGCCAGGCGGGTGCCCCTCGGAGCTCCAGGAGCGCAAGGTGCCGCTCAGCCGCCCTCCCTGCCCCACGGGTGTTGGAACCAGCCCCACGCACCATTTTGATGACCTGGTCGCTCTGCTTGATCACCTCGTGGATCTGCCGCAGCGCGTTCACCTTGGTGTCTTCCAGTTCCTGCTTCTGCGTGTTGGCGTCGGCGACACAGGTGCGATACGTGGCCATTGCCTCGTCTGCCTGGGGGACGAGGCGAGCAGAGGATGGAAACGGCACGGGGCGAGGAGGAGGCTCGGGCAGCACCCAGGGCTCTTCTGTCCCTACCTTGTTCTTGGCTTCCTCCTCCAGCCGCCTCTTCTTGTCCAGGGTTTTGGAGGTGATGCCGCTGGTGGGGTTCTGCTGCTCTTCCTCGGCTTTCACCGCCACGTACTTGGCCTTGTCGTGCTCCTCGCAGCGCTGCATGTAGCTCTGCTTGGCCTTGCGCAGGTTGGCCTCGGCGTCTTGCTGCCAACGAGAGCGGGGCCAGGTGAGGACGGAGCTCTGCCAGGGAGGTGCTCTGCCCGAGAGACGCGCGGACGCGGGGCAGGCCGGGCCGTGCGCTGAGCGCGAGCAGGCTGCGCGCGTGGAACGGGGTGCTCGGCTCTCCAGCCTGGCTGCGCGTGGCTCGGGACGGCAGGTTGGGCTCTGTGGCAAGGACTCTCCCAGCTAATAAGAAGGGACGAGCTCTGGAGAGGCTACAGGGGAAGCAGCGCGGGATCTGGATGGGCAGAAGTCTTTCCATGAGTGAGCTGCTCTCCCATCCCATGCGGGCAGAGGGGCTGCACGGCCGCATCCCCCCTGGTCCCCACGCTACAGCAGGGCCAGGAAGAGGCTCCCGAGCTCCAGGCACCCAACACTTCGTGTAGAAGGGTAATAATCCGACATTATCCATGAGGAATGTGGCAGGGATGCTCCCGGCTGGGATTTGGGAGCCCAACCCCAGCCCGTGCTGTGTCTCTGTCCCATACCAGTTTCCTCTGTGCCCGGTGCCACTGCTCCTTGATCTCCTTCCTCCGCTTTTCGTGCTCCAGGCGTCTCACTGCCAGTGGCTGAAACGGGATGGAGAAGGAATCATCACGGAGGTTTTGGTAAGTGCTTGCTGCGCTGCCCTTTGCAAGAGGTTTTGCACGGAAAAGCTTCCCGGGGTGACTGTTATCATTCCATGCAGCACAACCGGGCTCCCTTACAGGGATGGTTTGTGCCGTGGACCAAAGAACTGCAGCCTGGAAAGCGCCAAATTCAGTTTCCCTTCAGGCTGCTCTGAGCAGGAGCTGTGCTCTGCAATAGCAGGGCACTGATCCCCTCCCCTGGCTCCGGTGAGCAGCTGTCGGGATAAACCTGCAGACACGGAGAGCCCGCGGATGAGGCGGGAACAGGGACGGGCTCCTGCCGAGCACCGGGAGATTCTCCCAGGCCCTTCATGCAGCACCCTGAGGGAGCAGCCGGTTCCTGTAGGAGCTGCCCGTGGAACTGGAGCACTAGGAGCCCCCAGCCCTCCTCGGAGCCCGGCACGGAGCCGCTTCCAGAAAGGCTTTCCTGGGGAGGAGGCGCTTCCTGCTTCCAGGGACACCGACCTCGGCCGTTTCCCGTGCTCAGAGCCATCCTTCAGGATCCCGAGGTCCTTCAGGACGGCCCTGCATGCGCAGGGAGCTCGTGCTGAGCGCTCGCCCACCTGCAGGAAGGTTTGGTGCTGCAGAGTGTTGGCCGCCTGCAGAACCGCCGTCCCGTACTCCATGTCCTGCTCCAGAGCCAGCAAGTAGATGGACAGGAAGGGCATACTGGTCTGGGAAGGAGAAAATGCATCCACTTATCACCGCATCGGGAAATGCTGCGGGTCTGCAGTGCCTCGGGCTGCAGCTGGCAGTGCTTCAAGTATCGGCCCCGTTTTGGTCCCGGAGTTGGTGGAATTAGGTATGTGGAAATTAGGCCAGGAAACTAATAAATAAATAAGAGGGAACCTTCTCCAGGGCTCCTGGTGCTGCGGGTACCGCCGCAGGCACCACGGTTCAGGTTGTAGACTCACCTCTTGGGTGATGGTTTGCTTGCAACTGTTTGCCATCTTCTGAAGCCCTTTGGCAAACTCCATTTCTGGAAGAGGGAGATTGGAAGATTGGAAAAGTGAGAAACACAAGAATTTCCTTTCTGATTAGACTCCTTTGCAAAAGCAAATCCAGAAATAAAGGACTGAGTGTTTAAATTCTTGCAGTGTCCTGCAACTCTCCTCCCCCAGCATCAGTCCTTGCATGTCAATGGATGTAGTTCATCTACAGACATGACAGCACAGGTAGATCTCATTTTTGGTTGGAAAGCAAGCAGAACAGGGTGGCTTGTCCCACACTACACACACCACACGCACCATGCGAGCAATCCTGGTAGAAACTAAGACTGTACTGACTTCCCACGCCATGCTCGGTGCAGGAGGCAGGCAGCGGTTCTCTGTTTTCGACCCATTTCCAGATCAAGATTCCCAAACTACGTTAGCTCCATGCACGTGGATCTGCTGTGCCGCTGTCACCGGGAGCTGGGCCCTGGTGCAGAGCAGCCCCCAAGCTCCATCCGCCCCATCTCACCCAGCGTGGTCCGTTTCTCCAGGTAGCCGATGAGGTCCTTCATGTACTTGGAGATGTTCTTGGCGTACTGGAGTGCAGCGTCCACGCCGCCCTCGCACCGCTGCAGCAGGACATCCACCTCCTCGGCGGGCGGGCGCACTGGGCAAGGTGGGCAAGGAGAAGGATGAGAGCGATGGAGCTGGGCGGTGGGACCTGCCGCTCCCCAGCCCGCTCCCTCCCAGCGCCTCCTCGGGCTTGCCACGATCCTGGAACGGGTCAGGAAAACCGGGAAGGGCCCCGTGCCCCGCAGCTTTCCTGTCCCTGAGCTCCATGCTCACTCCTGCCTTGGCCTTTCTGTGCATGGTGCCAGCTCTTCCCTGCCTGCCCGCGGGACCTGCTGCTCCGTGGTGTCCTGCGGGCACGAACGGCGGCAGCTCCGTGTGCCCCTGCGCTGCCCTGTGCCTGCCGGAACCGCTCAGCCCAGGAAAAGGTCTAGAGCCGAGGTGGCAACACCCGGTGCTTCAAAGGCCTTTTCACCTCTATTTTGAGCCCTTTTCAAAGCCATTTTCACCTCTGTCCTGAAGTCTTTCACGTCATGCTTGCAGCAAGGCGGGTTTGGTGTTGTTGCCTGGCATCCCCAGCCCTGGGGCCCCTTCCCGCACCCGAGGACTCTGCTTACCCATGCTGTAGCTTTCCATGCCGGGTGGCAGGCCATCTCCACCAGGACCGGGGATCCCACCATAGAGGTTCTCCATAGACTGGGGGAATTGGCAAAGAGAAGGAGCTAATTAGACAGAGCAGGGAGTAGTGGTGGGGCGACCTGGCAGGCGGAGCGGGGCGCAGACACTCCAGGCTGCTGGAGGGATTTGGCTGTTGCTTCAAGTCTGCTGAGCGTGGGAAGATCCTACAGGAAGCTCAGGAGATATTGGGGACCCTCTGGAGAAGTGCCTTGCTCTGGGCACACAGCAGCAGCACAGGGATAAGGAAGGAAATTAGGAGCCCTGCTCTCGGTCTCTGCTGGCAGAGCGGCTCCGTCGCCTCCCACCTGGCCTGTCCCCTCTGCTTCCAGCCGCCAGGCACTGTCCCCCGTCCTGAGGGTGCCAGGGAGGACAGGGGCGGACAGGACACAGCCTGGCCGGGAGCTGGGCATGGGCGCTGCGGCCACCCACCTGGTTCTGGTCGCTGGGCGGGATGGAGAGGATGGTGCTGCTGTCCACCTCCCCCATGAGGAACTCGGACACGCTGCGACAAGGAGAACACGCGTGTCAGCGGGACAGGGCACACGAGCGGCAGGATGGGGGGCTCCGGGCGGTCCCCAGTGGGAATCCTTGGGACGGGACCAGAACCAAGGCCAGGGTGGCGGGAGCTGCAGTGCTGGGTTTGGGCCCAGGGCCGCGGGGGCCCTGCGGCTGCAGCAGGAGAGGTGCTGGCGGCCCCCTGCCTGGGAGGGGGGACCATGGGGGGACTCTCTTGGGGGACAGAGGGCCAAAGATCCCGTACGTGCTGCTGAAGGACACTGCAATGGTCTCCACAGCCTTCTCGAACTCCCGCTTGTCCGCTTCATTGTTGGATTCGTAATGGAAGCCTGGAAATGGAAGAAATGCGAATCCCTGTCATCACAAATGCCTGTTCCCATTGAGGTCAGGGAAAGGGACTGCTGGTGACTGCCGCTCAGGCCGGTGGTGGCCAAGGGACCTCCATGCCCCTGGGGGAAGCGATTTGGACCAGTCTTGGGGGTTATTTCTGTGATCTTGGTCTAGGCAAAGTGTCGCCGTTTTGTGCCACTCGCCTGCCCTGCCCCTCGGGGCCGGTTCTCTCTTTGTGTTCCCGGCTCCTATTTGCTCCAGACCGCGAGCCGGGCGCACCCCCTCGAGCTGGGGCCCTTGTCCAGATAGGGGCTCGCAGGGGACCCCCGTGTGCCCGCATCCTCCCCGCCCGCCCGGCTGGCGCAGGGCTCCCCGCTGCGGCCCGGGCTCCTCGCAGCCGCCCGGGGCTTCCTGTGGCTGCGGTTGGCGCGGCGGCCAGGAAGCTGACGCAGAGCGCCGCGCTCCGGGGCCTGCCTCGGCCCCGCGGATCCGCTCCCGGAGGCTCTGCCTTGCAGCCCCGCACGTGGACCCGCTCGCACTAGCACTAGGTGCTGCCGGAGGCTCTGGGGACACTGGCACAGCCCCAGGGGGGCTCAGGGCTCCATCGCTGCTGCCACGTTACGAGTCTCAACGTTAAAATACAACGCAGCGAGTCCCAGTCTGAGCTGGTGGCGAGCTGGCACCACCGGAGCCCGGTGCAGGATGTGGGTGCAGGACGCAGCGCTCCGAGTGCCCGGCGCCCCGCGGCACCACCTCGCCTCACCCTTCACTTTGGAGATGAGGGTCCCGGCAGCCGTGAGGATCTCCAAGGTGTTGAGCAGCGGGTACTTGTTGATGACCTGGCGCAGGACGCGCAGCGTCTCCCCCAGGCACTCGTGGGCCTGCGGCCGCTGCGACTCCTTGGGCTCTGCAAGGGAAGGGGGGAATGGAGCGTCACGGCCGGCAGAGGCGCACGGGGACATTCCCGCCCTTGGTGGCAGCGGGGAGGGAGGTGACATCTCACTGCCTGCCCAGACAACCCCCCAGCCACCGTCCTGGCTCAGGAAGGAGTTTCCTCGGTGCCTCTCCCATTTCCAGGCCCCTGTGGAGTGGAGAGCGGGCAGAGCAGGGGCTGGAGCCGGTGCCCGGCCGGCACTGCCAGGACCTGCTCAGGCAGCCCCGCTGCTGCCCAGCTCTCCTGGCCGCTCGGCCCGGAGCAGAGCGGATCCCAGAGGGGATGGCCCTGGATGGGTCCAGTTTGGAGCAGTTCTCCTCCCTGTCCAGGGATCCCATGTTTTCCACTGAAAGCCGGGGCGTCACCCACCAACCCAACCCATCCTGGTGCTGGCACCGCTTTGTCACCACAAATGGGGACGTGTCAATGTGTTTGTGAGGCCAGCGCTGAAAACAGGGTGTCACGTGAGGTCCCTGCGCCCGCCCGCCGGGGAGCACCCACTGCCCCTGGGGAGCACCCGCTGCCCCGAGCTGGGGCCGGAGCCGGGAGCCGGGACACGCTGGAGCCCCCTCCCGCCGGCCCCACCACCGCGGAGCTGGGGCCGAGCCGCAGAGCCGGGGTTCGTGCCCGCGCCCCGCACCGGGGCCCTGCCAGCAGCTGGCACCGCCGCGCTGTAAACAGGAAAGCGGGCGGATGAAAATAGCGCGGCAGGAAGCGGCGCTATCCCGGCTCCGCGCTCCCGCAGCCACCCGCCGCCCTTGTGCCCTGCACCGCACCGCAGCCCCTGGGGACCCGGCAGGACTCGGGGCTCCCAAGGGACCCGCGGGGACGTGGGGCTCCCAAGGGCCCCGCCAGCATGTGGGGCTCCCCCTCCCTTCCCTGCCGGGGCTGTGATCTGGGCTGGTCTGGGGTCCCCAGCACCCAGGCGGGAGGGCAGGGGGGACCCCGAGCTGGCCGCAGGGAGCCCCGGGGCGCCGCGCGGTGCCACCCACCGTCACGCAGCACCACGTCGCGCAGGTTCTCGAGCGCGTCGGCGAAGCGCGCCACGTCCGTCAGCAGCTGCGAGATGTCCTCCACGTCGATGAAGAGGCCCTCGCCGCCCTCCATGGGGCTGTAGGACGTGGGCGTCTTGTGGCCCTTGGGCAGGGCGCGGGGCGCTGCAGCGGTGAGCGGGAAGCCGGCGGCGCTGGCATGGCGGCTCAGGCTGGTGGGGCGCTTGAGGTTGCCCGCGGCGCTGGGGCTGCTGCTGAGCTTGGCGCTGCCCGTGGACAGCTCCGCCAGGCTGCAGCCCGGCGCGTCCAGGCAGTCCTTCCGCGACAGGTCCTGTGGGTCGGGGCCACGCAGGGCTGGCGTGAGCTCGGCTCACACAGGGCCCCCGTGGACCCTCTCGCCCAAGGGCCCCGCGGAGGGGCTGTGTTTGCCCGGGGGGCAGCACTGCTGGCGCCAGGCTCCGGCTCTGAGATGTGCCCTAGGGGTGGGTTTGTGCCCAGGGAAGTGGTGCCAGGAGCCGCGGGCAGCCTCGGAGCAGGGGGGCAGTGGGTCAGGGGGCAGCGGAGGCCGTTGAGGGTCCTGGTGCTGCCCCAGCTGGCGGCCTGGCCCAAGGGGACTCCCTGCATACAACCCCTGCCCAGCACGGGGGCTTCACAGGAGACGTGGCTCCAACACCACAGACCTGGGCGCCCTGTGCCCCCACCAGCCCCCCCAGATCCTCGCTTGCTGTTTGTGGCTTGGCAGGCGGCAGCCTGGTCCTGCTGCGGTCACCATGTGCCACCACCCCTGTCCATGCCCGGGGCCGCCAGGACCTGCTCCCTGCGCCCCTTCCTCTTTTTCTGCCTGCGCCATCCCGGCGGTGGCAGCTCCCTGCCCCAAGGCCACCAGGGCTGGGATGGGGGCACCTGCTGTGGAGGAGGCTTGTGGACTGATGGGACCTCGGAATTCCAAGGGGAAAAGAGCTTGGATGGAGAGGCTGGGGCAGGACCTGGCTGAGACCAGGGCGAGGGCAGCTCCAGGAGGCCCTGGGTGCCTTCCGGCCGCCCCACATGGGGGTTGGGCACCAGCCATGGCCAGGAGCAGGGTCCTGCAGCCCCCCTCCCTGCTCCCACAGCTCCCGAGCATCTCCTGTGTGTGACACGAGTGTGTTGGGTCTCAGCATCCCTGCCTGGGCGCCCCCAAAGCCACCCTGGGGCTGCCTATGTCCAGCTGCGCCCAGGCCCAACCCCGCAGCACGGAGGACCCGGGAAACCTCCCCACGGGCACCCACGTACCGTGAGGCGCACACGGGGCGCATGGGGCAGCGAGTCCAGAGAGGGCTGGCCCGCGGCGCCCTTGTCCCCATGTCGCCCCGCTGCCCGGGGGCTGTAGCTGTTCTTGCCCGCCGGCCGCCGGCCGAGCATCGTCCCTGGGCCGCGTGGCGGGCACGGGGCCGGGACCCCGGCCGGGAGCTGCGGCGGCACTGCTGGGGAGCGGGGCCGTGCGGCTGGGGCGGGCGCTCAGTGCGCGCGCAGGGCCCTGGAGCGCGCGGCACCCCCAACACCCCAGTGCTTCCTCTTGCATTTCCAGCGCCGCCGCGGCCGCCAGGACACGAGGAAGGGGCTCAGCCCCATGGGCCCCTGTTCCTGTCCACCAGGAGGGCTGGGGGTCCTGCTGCCTGCCCCAGACCCACAGCCCTGCTGCCCCCGACCAGCCCTTCGCCTGCTGCCCCAGCCCCTTTTCCTAGGGCTAAACCCTGCTCAGGTCCTGGGCAGTGGAGGGCTCCCTGGGCCCCCTCTTCCTCCTCCTCACTGTCCCCTGACCATCCCCATCCCTTTCCTGCCTGTGGGTCTTCCACGGTGGCCCGCGGTGCTCCCCTGCCCCACTGCCGGGCACTCACCGGCAGGGTCTGCGGCACCGGGCTCCCCGCCCGGCTCTTCTTAGATATCGAGGGCGTTTTCATGAGCTCGCGCTTCTTGCGGGAGAACATCGCTGGCGGAGGGCGGCCCGCGCCAGCCCCGGCCCGGTGCCCCGCGGCTGCTCGCCTGCCGCCTGCTCGCCCACCCCGCCGACAACATTAGCTGGGGCCAACTGTCAGCCCGACGCATGTGACGCCGCCTTATTTCCTCATTGGGTTTTGCAGGCGAACCCGAAACAGGAAAAGCTGAACATGCACCAGGGCGTGAGGTAGGGGGGAAGGGGCTGCGGTGACGCCCACCAGGGCTGCAGGGCCCACAGGAGGCAGCCAGGCCAGCGGTTTGGGGATGGGGACCCCCAGGATCTCTCTCGGGTGCATGGTTGCATCTATCCAGCTGCATCTGCAACTCGTGCAGAATCCCCAAACCACGCAGGGAACAAACCCCCACGTGGGAGGGACAGTTGTGGGACCTGGGGGGCTCCCAGTGCTCATTGTGGAGTGACTCAAGAGCCAGACCTGGCTCTTTGCCAGGGAGAATTCCATCCCGCAGGACAGGCCAGGGCTGGGGGCTACTGTGGGGATGCCCAGTGCCAAACCTGGACTGATGGTGTCTCGCCTGTGCCATCTACCGGCCACGGGACTGGAAAATCCCCACACACCGGCAGAAGGGCCTGGGCTTCCCCACATGCCAGCGCTGCTCCCAGCTCCCCACGTTGCTGCGGTTGCAGCGTCAGCCCCTTCTGCTCCACCAGGCCGCATGGAAGGATCCTGCTGGCTGTGCTGGGCCAGGGCCATTGGAGCAGCAATGGGCCAGGCTCACGGTGCCCCACAGGGCTCCCAGTGCCTTTAATCCACTGTGACGGCGAGCACAGGGCAAGCACACCATGTGGGTACATACATGTGTGCAAGTGTGTCCACGTGCATGTAGGGATATATGTAGAACTGCATGTGTGTAAGTGCTCACCACGCACACGTGTCTGCGCACATCAAGTGTGCGGAGGGGTGAGTGTACATGCACATTTCTGTACACGTGTGACCACCTGTGGGGACCTGTGTGCACATCGGCACATCGGCTGCATGGGCAGGGTGTGCACATGCGGGTGCATCTGAAGATGGGAGTGCACACGTGTGTGCACACGTGCACCGGTGTGTGCACAGGTGTGTGCAGGTGTGCGCACGTGTGGCCAGGCCCACGAGCGGGCCCAGGCTGACGGGGCCGGATCCCCGGACCTCCCCTCACCCCCGCTCCGCAGTCCTGGTCCCGGGACGCCCCCGCCCCAGACTCCATCCCCTCCGCGATCCGGCCGCTCCTGCCCTTTTTTGGGCATTTTGGCTTGGCCAATAAGGGCTCGAGGGCGTGGCCAGCCCCGCCCCGCCCCGCCCGGTGCCGCCCGCCCCGGCGCCGCCGCGTCCCGTCCCTTCCCGTCCCGTCCCGTCCCGTTCAGTCCCGTCGCACCATGAGCAGCTCCCAGTTCAACAAGGGCCCGTCCTACGGCCTCTCCGCCGAGGTCAAGAACCGGGTGAGCCGCAAGGGTCCGGGGCGGCCCCGGGGGGGTCGGGAAGTTCCGGGACGCCCAGACGTGGAGAGCTGGGGGTTCCCGGTGCCCCGGAGGGACCCGGCGCCGCTGCGGCAGGAGCTGCGTGTCCCCCCGGGCGTTCGCTGCGTCCAGGTCCCGGACAGACGGACTCACGGCCGGTCGCTCCGGGGAGCAGCGGCCCCTCCTGCCTCCTCGCCCCTTGGGGAGGCGCCCGGAGCGCGGTCGGGGCCGGTTCGGTGCGGGGCAGCCCCCGCGAGGGGAAGCCGGGGCACGGGCACAGACGTCCCCGGGTCGTTTCAGCGCTTCGCGTTGGTGCCTAGACAAACACATGAGGGTGACGGGCCCGGGTTGCCCGCGGACGCCAGAGCAGAGCGTCCCTGGGTGCACACCCGGGGCCAAGGGTGCAGGCGGCGCCGGTTCTGCCGGCAGCTCCGTGCGAGGCAAGGCCCGGCGGGCCGGGGTCTGCAGCCCGCAGCTCCTGCGGTGCCGGCGGATCCGGCCCCCTTTCCTCATCCCATCCGGGCAGCTGGTCTCCATTTGGGAGGAGGCGCCCGCATTCCTGGCATAGCCGCGGTGACCGAGGAATCTGCCGGGCAGTGGGGCCGGCCCGCAGGGGGGAGCGGTGGCCGTGGTCCCGGATGGGCACCCTCCCCGCACCGGGGCTCGAACATCCCCTCTGGGGGCTCAGGGCTGTTTCCCCATTCCAGCATGGGGAGCCTGGGGCTGCTGGAGGGAGCTGCTTCCTCCCCCAGCACGGGCGGGTGGTTCCTCCTCTTCCTCTCTGAGAGCTGCACAAGTTTCGGGCTGCCGTATGCTCAGTGCAGGCCTCGTACCGGATGTGGCTGTGTTGGCACCGGGGCCTGATGCCACGGTGTGCCCGTCCCTCGCTGCCAAGGGCTCACCCAGCACCTCACACCCGGCTGCGGGGCTGTGCCAGGCTCCCTCCTGCCCACACTGCTCTTGCTACTGCAGAGCCGCTGCTTCCTCCATGCCAGCTGAGCAGGTCCCTCCTGGGCGCCCCAGCAGCCTCATACAGGAGGGCTGGGCCGCCCATTGCTGCAGGGTGGGCTCTGGGCACACAGTGCTGGGCGCTGCAGGAGGAGGAGGCACCCGAGCACCCCCTCTCCGTCTGTCCCCAGCTCGCCCAGAAGTACGACCCGCAGAAGGAGGCCGAGCTGAGGACATGGATCGAGAGCGTCACTGGGCAGCGCATTGGGCCCGACTTCCAGAAGGGGCTGAAGGACGGCGTCATCCTCTGCGAGTGAGTGGCTGCCCAGGCCGTGCTGCGCTTGGCCCGGCTGCTCACAGCCCGCGGGAGCTGGGTCCCTCGGGAGGCTGTGGCACCGCAGCAGCAGCGGAGGATTTCGGGCAGCATGTGCTTGGCGGGCTGCGCTCCGGAGCTCTGCTCGCTGCAGCCACACTCGCTCTTCTCCCCAGGCTCATGAACAAACTGCAGCCCAACTCAGTGAGGAAGATCAACCGCTCAGCCCAGAACTGGCACCAGGTAGGTAGGAGGGCTGCCCACCACGAGCCCCGACTCCGCAGCCACCCCTGCCTGACTCTGTGCCCCTCTCTGGCAGCTCGAGAACCTCTCCAACTTCATCAAGGCCATGACCAGCTATGGCATGAACCCCGTCGACCTCTTTGAAGCCAATGACCTCTTTGAGAGCGGGAACCTGACGCAGGTGCAGGTGTCGCTGCTGGCACTGGCGGGCATGGTGAGTGCTGGGGCCCTGCCCCGCTGCTTGGGTGGACGTTATGGTCCCCTCGGGCATGGCCAGAGGGCCCAGGGTCACCTCCTGCATCGCCTCTCTGCCTCAGGCTAAGACCAAGGGCATCCAGAGTGGCGTGGACATCGGCGTGAAGTACTCAGAGAAGCAGCAGAGGAACTTTGACGAGGCCAAGATGAAGGCCGGGCAGTGCGTGATTGGGCTGCAGGTGAGCTGCCCGCTGCTCCGCGGCACTGGGGGTGGCCGGGCCATGGAGTGCCCTTTCTACTGCATGAAGCATCTGCTTCGTGTGGTAAAGAGGCCTGGGATGCTCTGAGGCTTGGGTTGCACTGAATGTCCCTGCAAACTGGGACCATCTTGGTTCCATGTCTGAGTCCCTGGAAAGCTGAACTTGGGAGAGGGAAGATGCAGGAGGAGCCAGTGCTGGACCCATGGTGGGGTGGGCTGGTCTCAGCAGTGGGCACTGGGATCCCAGCAGTCCCCTCTTCTTCAGATGGGCACCAACAAATGCGCCAGCCAGTCGGGCATGACGGCCTATGGCACCAGGAGGCACCTCTATGACCCAAAGAACCAGATCCTGCCACCCATGGACCATTCCACCATCAGCCTCCAGATGGGCACCAATAAGTGTGCCAGCCAGGTGAGCCCAGGGCTGGGACTGACCATTGCCAGGTGGCCATGGGGACACTTCTGAGCTCTACCTCATCCTGTCCTTCCAGGTGGGCATGACGGCTCCGGGCACCAGGAGACACATTTACGACTCCAAGATGGGCCTGGAGAAGTGTGACAACTCCTCCATGTCCCTGCAGATGGGCTCCAATCAGGGGGCCAACCAGAGCGGCCAGGTCTTTGGCTTGGGCCGCCAGATCTATGACCCCAAGTATTGCCCCCAGGGCAACCAGGACGACGTGGCCAACGCTGCCTGTGAGCAGGGCATGGACCCGCCGGGGTACCAGTACTACTGCGAGGAGGAGAGCTACTGAGTGGGCTGCTGTGGTGCCCGGCCCAGCCCCTGCCAGCTTGTGTACAGCCCCCACTGCCAGCAGCATTCCTGTATCTCGCCTTTCATCATTCCCTCTTTTTATAACACTTTTTTTTAAAGGAATCTACTTTTCTGAGCAAAAAGATGAAGACGCTGTTTCTAGAGACGAGGGTGGTGCCTCTGCAGAGCCCCTGGGCTCAGCGGCCCCCTGTTTGCCCCAAGCTGCAGCTGGAAGGAGGCAGCTGCCCCAGGGCCATAGACTGGACGGTGTCTTTCCTTGAGCAGCCAAGAGGACATGGTTCAAAGTGGAAGTGTTGGCTGAGCAGTGCCCACAGCCCTGCGAGGGTGGCAGTGCCATAGTCCTGGGCATGGGGGGTGGCAATGGGCTGTGTGGCTGAGGGTCAAGTACAAAGTGCTGCCCCCACCTTGTGTGCTGCAGGGCTCATCCGGGGCTGCGGCCGGGGGACGTCCCGCACAGGGCAGGGGTCCCACTGGCCAGGAGAAGCCGGGTGGTGGGAGCTCTGGCAGTGACTTCAGGTCTCCTCCTCCTCGCAGGGCTCGGGCTCTGCTCCCTGCATGGCTGCGGTGTCTTCAACACCGTCAGGGCAGCTGCTCTCCTGTCGTTCTCTGGAAAGAAAGCAAAGCTGGAAACATGTTTTTTTAGGGACCAAGTTGCTGATGCTTCATTCCCCTCAGAGAGCAAGTACCAGCTCAGCCTCCTCCCGCCTGGGGCTGGGGACCCCCCCCTGCAGCATGGGGTCTGGGACCTGCTCGTGGAGCTGGACTCTGGCTCCACAGCCACCGGGTTCGACATCAAGCTGTGGTCATTGGGGGGTCTGTGCAGCGGCCCCCGCCGCAGGGGAGCCTGATGGTGGCCATGCATGGCCACAGGCACTGCGGCTACCTTGCCTGGGCAGTGGTTGGACGAGGCCATATGCATTTGCAACCACTTAATGTGCACAAAACGTGTTTCTAACACAGCTGCTCTTGGAGGGAAAACATTTTGGTTTTGGCATTAACCAGGAAACATTTTCTAGCGTATGCTGCTCGAGTGCCCAGGGCGGGGGTTCACGGGGGGCTGCAGCTGCCTCCCGCGGGGCTGGGCTGCTGCTGCCCCTGCCCGGCCTGCGACACTGCTACCCTCGAACTGGGAGCCGGGAACCTTCTCTTGACTAAATGTGAAGCTGGGGAGTGTTTTTTAATGTAGGCAATAAAAAGCTTCCATAAAGGACCTTGTCCATGTGAGGAACCCTGAAAGTTGGGTGCTGTGGCCATGGTCCCGGCACACTAGCCACTCCAGCTGTGACTGCACTCTGTCCCGGGCAGGCAGTGCGGCCAAGTGCCTGGCACCCCAATGTGCCCCCCGTTTCGGGGTGCAATGCTGGGACCATGCTTTCTTCCATGGCGCGAGGCTGAGGCCAAGTGGCTGGGCTGGCACTGCTAATGGAAATGTTGGCTCTGCACTGTCCTTGCCCGCAAGCCACAGCCTTTTATCCTGTCATTACTGCTTTGAAAAAACCCAAAAGCTCAACTCTGCTTTGCTCTCCTTTCTGTAAGCACTTGCAGCTTTGGTCTCCTGCTGCATTACGAAGCCCGTGCCGGCTCTCTGGCTGGCCCAGGCTGCGCTCCAGCCTCTGGTAGCACCATGACTCAGATGTTCTGTGCACTTCCCAGCCTCCCAGGAGCCGCTGCTGAGCTCCAGGGAAAGGTGTGCGTGCCTAATTGCCTGTAATGGGAACTCATAAAAACTGTAACGGGGCGTGTAACAGCTCCCCTGTAACAACACAGGAATTCGCCTGTCATCAGCCTGGGAACGACAAGTTGCCCCAGAAGGTGGGTGGGAGCAGTCTTGACCCCCCAATGTCTCCACGTGGCTTTGAGATGGAGCCCCCAAAAGACGGGCCTGGATCTGGGGCTGGGCAGTAGGGAGTGAGATGAGCACCTGGCAGCCACCCCGGCCCCTGTGAGCGGGGCTTTGCTCTGGACCCAGGGAGGCCAGGAAGTGGGCCGTGCACGGAACCTCTGTAGGCCCCCAGCCCCGGGAGGCTGGAGGAGGCCTGTGGGGCCGGGAGCGGGGTGAGGGCTGGGGGCTCCCCAGGGTGCCGAGGCCTGCGCCAGCCGAGGTGCACTGCCCTTCCCACTGGGTTCTACGGGGAACACGGGGTACCTCGCAGAGTCGGAATGGGGAGCGCCGGCCCCTTTAAGAGCCACTTGCTATGACGTCACGACCGCGGTTACTTTGTAGCCAGAGCCGGATGAGTGGGCGTGACCTCGGAGGAAGTGGGCGTGGTCACTAGAAGGGGTGTGGGCGACGGTGGGGGCGTGGCCTCCGCGGCGGAGCCGGCGGCCAGAGCCGGCGCCGGGTGCCTTTAAAGGGGCCGTGCGGTGATGGAGTGAGCAGGTAAAGTGGGGAATTTGCGGTGGGGGCGCCCGGGAGGAGGGTCCCCACATGTGAGAGGGTTCCCGCACTGCTTGGGATCCCCAGCTGGGGGTGTCCGGGTAAAGGGTGCCCAGATCGGAGGGGCCCTCGGACCGGGTTGCATCTGGAGTGGGTCCTATCCATGGGTCCAGCTGAGCGGAGGTCCCAGTGCTGCTGCCTAGCTGCTCCTGTGGACGCTGCCCTTGCCCGGGCTGGTGCTGAGAAGGGAGCCCTGGGCAGGCCCTGGGTTCTGGTGTCCGTGTCCCTCTGGCACCGGCCCGGGGCTCCGGGCTGCTGGCAGGGCTGGGGCTGGCACCGGCTGGGTGCTGGGGGGGCCCAAGGAGGGACTGTTCCTGTGTGGAGGGGACTGTGGGCACCGCCATCCACCCCGGGAGCTGAGGGCAGGATTTACTCTGACGGGCACAACTTTACGAAGGCAGCACGAGGAACGAGGGCGGCTCTGGTGGCAGAGCCCGGCATAAACCATCCCCTGAGTGACCTGTCCCAGCTGCCACTCACTTTCTATGTAAATCCCAGTTTACAGCGACCCTTTCCATGGCTGTGTCGTGGTGCTGTCGCACTTGTGCCTGCCTTGCCAGGCAGGGGCTGGGCGGGCTGGGGTGCCCCTGCGCTCCCTCCTTGCAGCAGGGACGGAGGGGCAGCGCCCAGGCAGGCACAAGCTCCCTGCGCTCATTAATTATGGATCTGCATTTCCAGCCCTTGCAGCTATAGGGTCAGGACGCAGAAATGGGCTGGAGAGCAGCCAGAGCGCGTTGCTGACGGGCGCAGTGCCCCGAGTCTGGCACAGCACTGACACCAGCAGGTGAGCTGGGCTTTCCTGCCCCTTGCCAAGGCCAGTGGGCAGCCCTGGTTGCCACTGTCCCTTGGTTTGTCCCCAGTGCTGAGCTCAGCGGCCGCAGGGCGCACGCTCCATGGGACAGACCCTTGTCCCTGCTTTGCTGCCCGATTCTGGCTGCCTCCTCCACCAGTGCCACCCATGCCTAGGCTGCCCGGGCTTCTCTCCCTCCTGGTGCCAGGGTGCCAAAGGCCCCTCAATCCCCCGAGCCTCCTGGGGAGAAACCTAAAGCTCTGCTTTAGTGCCACTTACGGCAGTTCCTGCAGGCTGATTAGCAGGATTTTCTCAGGAGGATCCTAATCCTGCCCGGCTCCGGTACCTGCTTATCCACTGCCAGGCCCAGGCTTGCGGATTAGAGCCGGAAGCGGGAGCTGCAGGGTCCTGCCCTGCTGCCCGGCCCCAGCGGGTGCCCGGCCTCACGGGCAGAGCTGCCCGCCCAGCACCTGGCACCTGGAAGGGGCGGCCAGGCCGCAGGGCAGGATGTGACCCAGGTCTCCTGCTCCCGGAGGGGAGAGGGGTGAGTTAGGGCGCAGAGGAGGGCGGTGCTTGCTCAGTTATGGCACCCAGAAGACCTGGCCCTGAGCCCTGGGACAGCCAGGAGAGGCGAGTCCTGTGGTCCCTTGCAACAGGGTGTTGGAGCAGCCTGGGCACCTTCTCCCTGCCGAGCCTCCTGCCTCAGCTTTTCCTGCCAGGAGCTGGAAATGCAGCACCAGAAAGTGGCCATGGTCCTGTGACCCCTGCAAAGAGGAGCCGTGTCCGCCCCATCCGTGGGTGGGGAAACAGTCCCGGGCAGGGCCTCAGGATCCAGCTCCCCTGGGGCTGTGATGGTCCTTAGGGATGGGATCTGTCAGCCAGTCCGGGGGCCCTCGGGGGACGTGGGCGGCTGCTGTGCGATCGGTGTCCTACGGGAATCCGGAAGCAACAAGCAGCAAGCTCCTCAAAGGAGCTTGTGCCCTGTTTTGCTGCTCTCGGTTTACAAAAGGAAAAGATTTGAAGGCTTTGGGGTGGAAAGGAGCTTTGTGGCAGGAATGTGGTGCCAGCTCCTCCCTGCGGAGCCACAGGGCCCCGGGCAGCTCGGGCGGGCGCCAGTGCCCGGTCCCATGGGACGCCCTGTGTCGGGTGCACAAGAGCCCAGCGGGGTTGGGGAGATCGACCTCCTCGCTGGGATCGCGCCAACGCTGCCGCTCTGTCCCCGCAGCCGGAGCCGGATCAGCACCGGCCCCGCCATGGCCGTGGGCACCCAGCTGTGGCTGCTGCTCTGGAAGAACTTCACCTACCGGCGGAGGCAGAGGGTGAGCAGGCGTCCACAGTGGGGCTCCTGCAGCCTCGGGGGCCCTTGGCAGGGGACTGTGCCCCTAGCAAGGGGCAGTCGCCCCGACCGTGAGCCTTCCCCTGCAGATCCAGCTGGCCATCGAGCTGCTGTGGCCCCTCTTCCTCTTCGTCATCCTGATCTCTGTGCGTCGCTCCCACCCGCCCTTCATGCAGCACGAGTGTGAGTGTGGGCGCGGGCTGGGCAGACGTGGCCTGGGGCGCCCGGGCTCTCGGGGTGCACGGGGCCCTGGCGGCTCCCTGCCTTCAGCCCTGGACCTGTCCCCCTGTTCTCTCACAGGCCACTTCCCCAACAAGGCGCTGCCGTCGGCCGGGACGCTGCCCTGGATCCAGGGCATCATCTGCAACATGAACAACCCCTGTTTCCGCTACCCAACAGCGGGCGAAGCCCCTGGCACCGTGGGCAACTTTGACGGCTCCATGTGAGCACGGCTACCGGGAGCCCGTGGGGGCAGGCAGGGCTCCCGAGCGCCCCTCACCGTGGCCTCTGTCCGCAGCCTCCTGCGCCTGCTGGGGGATGTGCGGCGGGTGCTGCTCAGTGCGCAGGGGACGCAGCTGCGCGGCCACGCGGGACGGCTCCTGCGCGCCCTGCAGCAGCTGCGGGGCAGCGTGGCGCTGCCGAGGGGTGAGCGCCGGCGCGGGCGGGCATGCTGGCACCAGGGACCCCGCATGCTGACCCCGCTCCCCCCCAGCGCTGCCCCTCGGGGGATCCCTGCGGGAGGTCCAGAGCTTCTCCCGCTTCCTGCGCCTCAACACGTCGCTGCCGCCAGCACTGGTGGATGAGCTGCTGGCGGCCCAGCTCAACCTGCGTGGCGTGAGTACACGGAGACGCGGGCGGGCACGTCCACACCTCATGGGCTCCCCGAGCCCTCACTGGCTCCCTCTGTTCTCAGCTCGCCCGGGTGGGTGCCCGGGTCCCACTGGAGGCCCTGGTGTGCGATCCCGACGCGCTGGCGAATGTCCTGGTGGCGGGTGATGCCGCGGGCGCGCGGCGCCTGCAGCAAGGGCTCTGTGCGCTGCCCGGCCCCACGCTGCGCGCCCTGGAACGCGCCTTTCTCACCCAGCTCGATGTGCCCCGGCTCCTCGCGGTGAGTCCGGGGGTGCCGGGGGTGCCGGGTGCCTGTGCAGCAGCCGTGACGCCGTCCCCTCGCAGGAGCAGCTCAGCGTGGGCATGGACGACGTGGCTGATGCCACAGCGGCCCTGGCCGCGGTGCTGCAGGGTGCCGAGATGCTGCTGCAGGAGGTAGCTGCCCCGTCGCCCCTCTCTGCCCTGGGTGCTGCTGTCCCTGGCAGCGCTGCACGGTCCCTGTCCCCACGTGGGGCTCCCGCGGCCCCGCTCTGCTCCCTGTCCCGTCTCCCTAGGTCTCCTCCAGCAGCAGCTTCGCGGAGCTGCGGCAGGAGCTGGCGGTGCTGGCGGCTGCCAACGGCAGCAGCTCCCTGGTGGGCGCCCTCGGGGCGCTGTCCCGCATCGCCTGTGGGCACCCCGAGGGCGGCGGCTTCCATGTGCCCTCCCTCAACTGGTACGAGGACCACGAGCTCGGCGCCTTCCTGGACCGCAACAGCTCCGAGCGCAGCGCCGCGGACGCCAGCAACGCCAGCAGTGAGCGGAGCCGCGCCGGGCTGTGCTGGGGCAGCGCCGGCCGAGGGGCAGCCCCTGAGGGCAGTTCTGTGCCCCCGTGCAGGTCCCTTCTGCAAAGAGCTGCTCCGCAGCCTGGAGTCCAGCCCCATCTCGCAGCTTTTCTGGAGGGGCGTCAGGCCGCTGCTCGTGGGCAAGATCCTGTACACGCCGCCGGGCGCTGGCCCCGAGCGCGTCATGGCTGAGGTGCGGGGGTGCTGCGGGCCGGGGGTGCGGGCGCTGCCGTGCGCCCCTCACCGCAGCCCTGCAGGTGAACCGGCCCTTCCGGGAGCTGGCGGCGCTGCGGGACGCGGCGGGCGCCTGGCGGGAGCTGGCGCCCCGGCTCTACACCTTCCTCAACAGCAGCCTGGAGATGCGGCTCGTGCAGGTGCAAGGTGCCCGTGTGGGGCGCCCACAAGGCGGGTGAGCGGGACAGAGCCGCTCACCCCTTTCCCCCCACGTTTGTCCCAGGAGCTGCTGCAGGCCCCGGGCTCCGCGCGCCTCCTGGACAGGCTCCTCAACGGCACCTCCTGGGACCTGCCGGCGCTGGCCGCCTTCCTGGCTGCGCCGGCCACGGGCCCCGGCCTCACCTGGCACCGGGTGTTCGCCGAGGCTGACCGGGCGGTGGGGACACTGGCGCAGCTGCTGGAGGTGCGTGTGCCCGTCCCCGTGCCCCCTGCGCCGCCCCCGCGCCGCTCAGCCTCCCTCCGCCCGCAGTGCGTCCAGCTGGACAAGATCGAGGCGGTGGCCACCGAGGAGCAGCTGGTGGCCCGGGCGCTGCAGCTGCTGGAGCAGCGGCAGTTCTGGGCCGCCGTGGTGTTCGAGGGAGCCGCCACCAGCCCGGCCGGCACGCTGCCCCGCCACGTGCGCTACAAGATCCGCATGGACATCGACGAGGTCACGAGGACCAACAAGATCAAGGACAGGTCGGGGGCCGCCCAGCCCTGCTGCCCCGTCCCCCTCGGCGGGTGTCCCCCCGCCACGCGGCGCTCTGCTCTGCCCCAGGTTTTGGGACCCGGGCCCGGCGGCCGACCCCTTCAGCGACCTGCGCTACGTGTGGGGCGGCTTCGCCTACGTGCAGGACCTGGTGGAGCAGGCGGTGGTGCGGGCGCAGAGCGCGGCCGCCCCCCGCACCGGCGTCTACCTGCAGCAGATGCCCTATCCCTGCTACGTGGATGACGTGTGAGTGGGCGCGGGCGCCGGCGGCGGTGCCGGGGCAGGGGGTGAACGCGGCCGCCCTCCCGGCAGGTTCCTGCGCGTGCTGAACCGCTCGCTGCCACTCTTCATGACGCTGGCCTGGATCTACTCGGTGGCCATGATCATCAAGGGGGTGGTGCACGAGAAGGAGACGCGCCTCAAGGAGACCATGAAGACCATGGGGCTGAGCAGCGGCATCCTCTGGCTCAGCTGGTTCCTCAGCAGCTTCATCCCCTTCCTCCTCAGCTCGGCCTTTCTCGTCCTCATCCTCAAGGCGTGTTGCAGAGCTGTCTGCGGGGAAGAAGCCGGGGGGACATGGGGAGTGACAGTGTCAGGAGGCTCCGCAGGCTCCAACTGCCCTTGTTTTACAGCTAGGGAACATACTGCCCTACAGCGACCCCGCCGTGATCTTCCTCTTCCTCGGCACCTTCTCGGTTGCCACCATCTGTCAGTGCTTCCTCATCAGCACCTTCTTCCTCCGCGCCAACCTGGCCTCGGCTTGTGGCGGCATCATCTACTTCTCCTTCTACCTGCCCTACGTGCTGTGCGTGGCCTGGCGGGACCACGTCACCTTCCCTCTCCGCGTGCTCATGGTGAGCAGCCTGGGCTGCCCCAGGGTGGGCGCGCGGGGCCCCGTGCCCGCCGCCCGCGCCCCACGCCGCCGCTCGCCGCCCCCAGAGCCTGCTGTCGCCGGTGGCCTTCGGCTTTGGCTGCGAGTACTTCTCGCTCTACGAGGAGCAGGGCGAGGGCATCCAGTGGCACAACCTGGGCGCCAGCCCCGTGCCCGGGGACCCCTACAACTTTGCCACGGCCATGGCGCTGCTGCTGCTGGACGCCGGCCTCTACGGCCTGGCCACCTGGTACATCGAGGGCGTCCTGCCAGGTGAGCGCGGCGGTGCCAGGTGGGTGCCCGCCGGCCGGCCCCGCTCCGACCACGTGCACTGCGCAGGTCGCTACGGAATTCCCAAGCCCTGGAACTTCCCCTTCCTGCGGAGCTACTGGTGCAGCGAGGAACCATCGGGCGGGCTCCCCCCGCACCCCACCGCCGCGCTGGCTGCGCCCACAGGTGAGATGCTCCCCCTGCACCCATGGGGCTGGCCAGGGACCGGCCAGCGCCGTGACGCTCCGCTGGCTTCCAGTGCTGGTGGAGGAGCCGCCGGCCCAGCTCCCGCCCGGCGTCTCCATCCGCAACCTGGTGAAGATTTACCGCAAGGGCGGCCGCGCGGCCGTCGACGGGCTCAGCCTGGACTTCTACGAGGGCCAGATCACCTCCTTCCTGGGCCACAACGGGGCTGGCAAGACCACTACCATGTGAGCCCGCGGCCGCGTGCGCCTGCGCCGGGCCTGCCCCGACGTGGGCGCGTGACTGTCCCTGGCGCCGAGCGCCCCATCGGGGACAGGGCAGCGTCCCCCCGCGCGCTGCTCCTTCCTGCTGCCCCCGCAGGTCCATCCTCACCGGGCTCCTGCCGCCCACCTCCGGCACCGCCTACATCCAGGGCTGGGACATCCGCAGCGACATGGACAGCATCCGCAGGACCATGGGCACCTGCCCGCAGCACAACGTGCTCTTTGACATGTAGGTGCGGGCAGCGGGGCCGTGGCGGGCGGGCGGGCGCGCGGGCGCTCACGGCCGTCCCGCAGCCTCACCGTGGAGGAGCACATCTGGTTCTACGGGCGGCTCAAGGGGCTCTCCGAGGAGCAGGTGCAGCGGGAGACGGAGCAGCTGCTTCACGATACGGGGCTGCCGCACAAGCGGCGCGAGCAGACGAGGAGCCTCTCGGGTGCGTGGGGGGCGCGGGGGGCGGGCGCCGGCGGCGCGGCCCCGTGACACGGCCCCGCGGCCCGCAGGCGGCATGCAGAGGAAGCTCTCGGTGGCCATCGCCTTTGTGGGTGGCTCGCGCGTGGTGCTGCTGGACGAGCCCACGGCCGGCGTGGACCCCTACTCGCGCCGCAGCATCTGGGAGCTGCTGCTCAAGTACCGCGCAGGTGGGCGCCGCTCCGCGGCCGTGCCGGCGCGGCGGCCGCGCGCGCTCAGCGGGCGCGCTGCCCCGTGCAGGCCGCACCATCATCCTGTCCACGCACTACATGGACGAGGCCGACCTGCTGGGCGACCGCGTGGCCATCGTGGCGCGGGGCCGGCTCTGCTGCTGCGGCTCCCCGCTCTTCCTCAAGACCCGGCTGGGCACTGGCTACTACCTCACGCTGGTGAAGCGGGAGCGGGGCGGCGTGGGCGCCCCTGGCCCCCCCGGCCCCCCCAGGAAGGTGGGTCCCCCGGCACCCCAGGGCGCTGGCGGCAGCCGGGGCTCCCCTTGCAGCACCCCATGCTCCGGCTGCCTCTCCTGCAGGACGGGAGCGACTCGGAGCGCAGCAGCGACACGGGCCTGGGCAGCGAGCGGGACAGCGAGGCCAGCACCGTGGGTACGGGGCCATCCCTCCGCCTGCCCCCGTCCCAAGGGACCCTGCTGGGCTTGGAAGCGCGTGCCCAGCGCTTCTCTGGCCTCTGCCCGCAGTGCCGCATCCCAGCGCTGCCCCCATTCCCTCCCCGTTCCCCAGATGTGCCCCAGCTCTCGCTGCTGATCCAGAGGCTGGTCCCAGGCTCACGGCTGGTGGAAGACATCGGGCAGGAGCTGCTCTTCGTGCTGCCCTACAACAGGGCCGAGGACGGCTCCTTCGCGGAGCTCTTCCGGGAGCTGGACGGGCGCCTGGGCGAGCTGGGCATCTCCAGCTATGGCATCGCGGACACGAGCCTGGAGGAGGTGCCGGGCGCGCGAGACGGCCCCGTGCTGCCCGGCCACGAGCCCGGGCTCTGCCCCGCCGGGCTGGCGCCTCCAACACCCCGTCCCTCCCGCAGATCTTCCTGCGGGTGACCGAGGACGAGGGGGTGGACGTTGATGTGGCAGGTAAAACCCCTGCACGGGTAGAGCCGAGCGGGAGACACCGGAGCAGGGATAGCTGGGACTGCGGGGAGCAGCCGCAGGGACAGGGACACGTCCCAGGCTGCGTCCCCATCCCATCCTCATGCTCTGGATGCATCCGTTCCCTCAGGGCTCAGGAGAGCTGCCCGGCCCGGCAGCGGAGCTGTCCTTGGCGGGGACGGGGATGCAGAAACAGCCGAGGGAGAGCCGGGTGAGAGGGGCCGTGGGGCTGGGGGGCTGCTCCCGGAGCGCCCAGCCCTGCCGTGGGGATCCTCCGCATGTGCGGGGCCGTGCACGGTGTCCGTCCGGGACGCTCCAGCAGCGGCATCGTGGCTGCTGCGGACATTGGGCTGTCCCGGGCTTTGGGAAGGGAGGAGAGCAGATCCGAGGGGTCTGGGATGGGCTGGGCAGTCCTGGGCCCGTCTCTTGTGGGGGACGGAGCTGGCAGGGGAATTGGGTGGGGTCTGCAGAGCCCCCCATCCCCGCGGCCGCCCCACGGCGCGTCCCTCTGGCCGTAACGCTTCTTTCCTCTCTCCCTTACTCTGAGTCCAAGGAGCCAGGAGAGGTAGGAGTGGGGTGGGCCGGGAGGGTCCCAGCGGGGCCTGGGGCCGGCGCCACGAGCCCCGCGCGAGCCCCCGGCCCTGGTGACGGTGCCGCGTCTGCCCGCAGCCGAGGAGCCGCAGGAGACAGACCGGCTGCGCGGCACCGGCCCCCGGGGGTCCCGCCGCGCCGCGGGCTGGGCGCTCGCCCGCCAGCAGCTCCGCGCGCTCTTCATCAAGCGGCTGCTGCACGCGCGGCGCAGCACGCGCGGCTTCTTCGCCCAGGTACCACGGCGGGGACGGGGGCGACAGCGGGTACGGGGCGCAGGGCCACCCCCGGCTCCCCCGTCCCTCCCGCAGATCGTGCTGCCCGCCGTCTTCGTCTGCATCGCGCTGCTCTTCAGCCTCATCGTGCCGCCAGTGGGGCGGTACCCGCCGCTGCGCCTGCGCCCCTCCATGTACGGGCCGCAGTTCACCTTCTTCAGGTGGGTGTCGCCGCCAGCGCCCCGGGGCCGCTGCAGCCGCCGCACTGCCCCGCTCTGTCCCCGCAGCGACGACGCGCCGGGGGACCCCAACACCGCGCGGCTGCTGGCCGCCCTCCTGGCCGAGCCCGGCTTCGGCACCGAGTGCATGAAGGGCGAAGGGGACGCGTGAGTGCCGGGCATGGGGGCTAGGGGCGCGTGGGGCCCCTCTCCAGGTTGCTCTGGCACCGAGGGGGCAGCGTCTTCCCGGGTGCTCCCCGAGCCGCACGTGCTGGATGCTCACCGGGGTCCCTGTGCCCGTGTGCTGCCCTGTGCCCAGGGTGTTGGGGCAGGGGGCTGGACTAGACGATCTCTAGAGGTCCGTTCCAGCCTGGACCCTTCTGTGACTCTGTGATTCTGTGTGCGGGGCCAGCGCGGGGCCGTGCCCGCCGGCCTCCCACCCCGACGGGTTCCGGGTGCCGGTGGCGTCGCCAGCCGCGCTGGCTGCGCTGCGGCACAGGAACGGGACCGCGGCGGAGCCGTCGCCGCCGTGCCGCTGCAGCGCGCCCGGCGCCCGCAGGATGCTGCCCGACTGCCCTGACGGCGCCGGGGGGCTGCCCCCACCACAGGTACCGCGAGGCTGCGCCACGGGGGGCGGCTGACACCCCCTCGGCCGCGGGTCCATCCGCGCCTGCCTCCGTCCCCCCGCCAGGTGCAAAGGGGCACTGGGGACGTCCTGCAGAACCTGACAGGCAGGAACATCTCCGACTACCTGGTGAAGACCTATCCGCAGATCATCCGGCAGGGGTGAGCGCAGCGGCTCTGGCGCGGATACGCTGGCGTTGCAGCCATGTCAGGGCTGACGTCCCCTCGCCCCCGTCTCCTGCCCTGCACTGTTTCTTGCAGGCTGAGGAACAAGAAGTGGGTGAATGAGCACAGGTGAGGCCGGGGGGACCAGGTCCTGCTCGGTGGGAAACAGGGCCCGCGGGGCCTGCCGAGTATGGGGCAGCGGCACCGTGTGGCCGGGCACACGGTGCCCTGGCGCGGGGCTGGGGACAAGGTGTGGAATGAAGCGTCTGCTCCCCTTGCACCCAGGTACGGCGGCTTCTCGCTGGGCGCCCGCAGCTCCCAGCTCCTGCCGTCGGCGGAGGAGGTGGACGCGGCCGTGCAGGAGCTCCGGGCGCTGTTCAATGTCACGCCGGTACAGCCGGGACGAGGACCGGGGGGTGACACGGGGGGGACGCCCTGTTCCTCACCCCCTGCCTCCGCAGGGCAGCCCTGCGGACCGGCTGCTCAGCAACCTCAGCCGCTTCATGGAGGGCCTGGAGACGCGCAGGAACATCAAGGTGAGCCGGGACCGAGCGTCCCGGCCGGCTCCGGCCCCGTGCCCGGCTCCCATTGCCCAGGCAGCGAGGCCGGACGCCTGGGCCCCGCTCCCGCTGAGGCTGAGCAGGGGCTCCCGGCACCACAGGTCTGGTTCAACAACAAGGGCTGGCACGCCATGGTCTCCTTCCTCAACGTGGCCAGCAACGGGCTGCTGCGGGCCGGACTGCGGGCGGGCGCTGACCCCGCGCGCTTCGGCATCACAGCCACCAACCACCCGCTCAACCTCACCAAGGAGCAGCTCTCGGAGGCTGCGCTGTGAGTGCGGGGCTGCGGGGGCCCCGGGGCTCCCGCCGGCACCGACGCTGACACTGTCCCCTCTGCGGCAGGATGGCCACCTCGGTGGACGTGCTGGTCTCCATCTGCGTGATCTTCGCCATGTCCTTCGTCCCGGCCAGCTTCGTGCTCTTCCTCATCGAGGAGCGGGTCAGCAAGGCCAAGCACCTGCAGTTCGTCAGCGGCCTGAAGCCCGTCACCTACTGGCTGGGCAACTTCGCCTGGGACATGGTGCGACACCGAGAAGGACGTGGGTGGCTCCCGGGGCCAGAGCCACCTTGTGACGCCCTCCCTGCTGCTCTGTGCCCGCAGTGCAACTACCTGGTGCCCGCGCTGCTCGTTGTCCTCATCTTCGTCTGCTTCCAGCAGAAATCCTACGTGTCCTCGGCCAACCTGCCCGCCCTGGTCCTGCTGCTGCTGCTCTATGGGTGAAGGGCCGCAGGAGCCCCAGGCTGAGCCCTGGAGGGGCTCTGTGTGGGGCAGCACTGGGGTCTGGGGCGCCGCTGCACCCCCGGGTGCATTTCGGTGAGCCTGGTGCTCCTCTGCCCCCAGCTGGTCCATCACGCCCCTGATGTACCCGGCCTCCTTCCTCTTCAGCATCCCCAGCACCGCCTACGTGGCCCTGACCTGCATCAACCTCTTCATCGGCATCAACGGCAGCGTGGCCACCTTTGTGCTGGAGCTCTTCGTGGACCAGGTGGGCGCCGTGGCGCCGCGCGCCCTGCGCTGCTGCGGCACCGCCTGAGCGCTCTGCTGCCCCGCAGAACCTCAACGACATCAACCGCGTCCTCAAGAAAGTCTTCCTTGTCTTCCCGCACTTCTGCCTGGGCCGGGGCCTCATTGACATGGTGAAGAACCAGGCCATGGCCGATGCCTTTGAGAGGTTTGGTGAGTGCTGTGGCCCTGGGTTGTCCTCGCGGTGTCCCCACGCCCGGCTCCTGACGCCCCTCGTCATTCCTCGGGGCCGCGCGCAGGGGACAAGCGCTTCGTGTCCCCGCTGCGCTGGGAGCTGGCAGGCAAGAACATGTTCGCCATGGCGCTGGAAGGCGTCATCTTCTTCCTCCTCACGTTGCTGCTGCAGTACCGCTCCTGCCTGTGGCTCAGGTGAGGGGTGGCGCGGGCGGCCCCGCGGCCCATGCGCCGCTGCAGCGTCCCCACAACGTCCCCCACAGGCCCCCGGCGCCGCCGCTGCCGCCGCTGGGCCAGGAGGACGAGGACGTGGCCCGGGAGCGCGCGCGGGTGGGCGCCGCGCCGAGCGCCTCCCACGTGCTGCTGCTCAGGGACCTCACCAAGGTGCGCGTCGGGGCCCGGGTGTCCGGGGCAGCGCGGAGCCCCGGGCTGGCGCGGTGCCGGCCGTGACCGCTCCCCGTGCCGCAGGTTTACCGGGGCAGGAAGGTGCCGGCCGTGGACCGGCTCTGCGTGGCCATCCCGCCCGGCGAGGTGAGCGCCGCGGCGCCCCGGGGCGCGGGGCCCGACGGACGCTGCTGCTCACCCTGCACGTCCCGCCAGTGCTTCGGCCTGCTGGGGGTGAACGGCGCCGGCAAGACGACCACCTTCAAGATGCTCACGGGGGACACAGAGGTGACGCTGGGGGAGGCCTGGCTGCAGGGGCACAGGTGAGCGGGCCGGGGCCAGCGCCGGGGCTGCTGCCGCCACCCCGTGCCCACGCTCACCATGCCGGGCCCGCAGCGTCCGCACCGAGCTGCCCTCCGTGCACCAGAGCATGGGCTACTGCCCGCAGTTCGATGCCATCACCGACCTGCTCACAGGCCGCGAGCACCTCGAGTTCTACAGCCGCCTGCGCGGGGTGCCCGAGGAGGAGACGGCCGGGGTGAGTGCGCCCGTCCCCGTCCCCGTCGCCGTCCCGCGGTGCTCAGCCCTGTGCTGCTCTCGCAGGTGGCTCAGTGGGGCATCGCCAAGCTGGGGCTGGGGCCACACGCGGACCAGCCGGCCGGCAAGTACAGCGGGGGCAACAAGCGCAAACTGTCCACGGCCATCGCGCTGCTCGGCTGCCCGCCCGTCGTCTTCCTGGTGAGCGCGGGGCCAGCGGGGTCCCGCTGCCGCGGCCGCCCGGCCTCACCGCGGCGCCGCTGCAGGATGAGCCCACAACAGGCATGGACCCGCGGGCCCGGCGCTTCCTCTGGGACTGCATCCTCAGCGTCATCAGGGAGGGCAGGTCCGTGGTGCTCACGTCGCACAGGTACGGGGTGCTGGGGGCCGGGGGGCTCGGGGCCCGTGCAGCGCGGGGCTCACGGCGGCACCGCCGGCAGCATGGAGGAGTGCGAGGCGCTGTGCACCCGCATGGCCATCATGGTGAACGGCCGCTTCCGCTGCCTGGGCAGCATCCAGCACCTCAAGAACCGGTAAGGCCGGGGCCGCGGGGGCCGCGGGGGCCCGGGGGGGCCCGGGGCTGCCCGTGGCACCGCACGCTCCCGCCGCAGGTTCGGTGACGGCTACACGGTGGTGGTGCGGGCGGGCGCGCGTGGGCCAGCGCTGCTGGAGGGCGCCCTGCGGCGCCGCTTGCCCGGCCTCGTGCTGCAGGAGCGGCACGGCGCCCTGCTGCGCTGCCGCCTGCCCGCCGCCGCCGCCTCCCTCGCCACCGTCTTCAGCGTCCTGGCCGCCGAGCGCGAGCCCTGCGGCATCCAGGACTACTCCGTGTCCCAGACCACACTGGATCAGGTGTGCCGGGGCTGCCGGTGCCGAGCAAGCGGGGATGGGGACCGTGGTGCTGCCCTGTCCCTATTGTCCCCTCTTCCATCCCTGCAGGTGTTCGTGCAATTCGCCAAGGAGCAGGGTGATGGGGACCCCGCTGGGGACGTGGCGCTGGGGCAGGACGCGGCCCCCATGCCCGCGCAGGTGCTGGAGGACGAGAGCTGCCAGGAGAGCGCGGTGTGAGGCGCCGCGACCACGTCCTGCCTGCTGCCCCTGAGCGGGCGGCCACCGGGCTGGCCCCGGGGCCCCTCTGCTCCCTGCGAGCGCAGGAGCTGCTGTGAAACGAGTTCAATAAAGGCAGCAGCAGGGCCTTGCGTCGCACTGGTCTCCTGCCCAGGGCTCAGCCGCGCAGCCGGGACCTGCCTGGACTCCACACACGGTGTCCACGCGCCCGTAGGTGGCTGTGGGGCGGCCTGTGGGGCTGGGTCTCAAGCAGCAGGTCGATCTCAAGGGCTATGAGGGGTGCCCAGGCAGGTTGTGGGGCCGGAGGCGGCTGCCCAGGTCTCTGCAGGGCACCTTGCGTGTGCCCTTGCCTGTCCTACAGTGCCTGTGGGGTCCGCCCTCGCTTTGTGTGGCGTGACCGAGCAATGAGGCCAGAGAGGAGGAACCGGCTGCTCCTTGTCCCAGAGGTTTCACTGGCTGCCCCCAGGGCTCTGCCTTCACCTGCAGGAGAGCTCCTGCTGGTAGGGTGGACCTGGCACCTGGGGGGCACGGGCATCGCTCAGGTGCCCCCAGTGCAGCAGGGCCGTGTGCACCCACAGTTGCCGGGCACCTGCACCCGCACTCGTCACCCTGGGGCACGGGCAGGGGGCGGCCTCTTGCAGGGGGCAAAACCTGGGCAAAACGCACTCGCTGGGGGAGTTGTTGGGGTGCTGTGACCGGGATGGGGGGGAAAAAAAAATATGGAACGCTTCACGAATTTGCGTGTCATCCTTGCGCAGGGGCCATGCTAATCTTCTCTGTATCGTTCCAATTTTAGTATATGTGCTGCCGAAGCGAGCACGA